CGCCACTCAGATTGGTATAAATGGGTCGAATTTGTCAAAGTACTCGACATTATAATTGTAACTTTCAAAATCGAAACATCCAATTATCCAGTTCCTGTACTATTGGTTGAAATATTGTTAACACAGGTAAATAATTCTAAATTAAGGTTTTATATAAATAACTTCTTTGATTTGACTTTTGTTAATTTTAATGTAACAGAATTTGGAAATCTTGTGTGCAATTTATCATTTCGCCGATTATTACGTATCTTGAAGGATTCGATGTGGTTTTTCGAAGGCCTTCTGATATAGACGTGGAATATTAGTTACCGAAGAACTAATTTTGTACATAGATGAACTGTTAACAGCACGATCTAAACTAGTGTTGATTCGAAACACATTAGAATGAATTGTATAATATTTAATAGCGGCTTTATAATTTTTATTATTTAATTCTACTTGCGTGTGTATCTCGCCTTACTTGAACTGAAGATGGTCTAATTTAAGACCGAAATGTTTTTTTGTATTCTTTTTATAATATATTATTTTCGCCTCTGACAACCGGCGTAGTGGTTTGAATCTTTTGAGGTTGCCTCTTATTTGAATTTTGTTCGTAAAAAGATACAATAATAATGCAATAACACATTGATAGCATGCTCTCTGAACGCAGCCTAGTAATCAGTTTGGAAGCGTCATTTTGATGTTATCATGACTAGCTAGTTCTGCTTGAATTTCTCTCGCATAGACCATTCGCATGAATATAAAATGCTGCGATGCGACATGAGAATTTCTTCTGATATTTATCGGAAAACACATCGGAAAGAAAGACAAGAAGCCGAATCGAAACACAATTTGCTTTTCAGAGAAAAACCTCTAGCTCTATTTTACGCGAGTTTCATTGTATTTGTATATACTTTGCAAGATTTTTTGTTGAAGATGTATAAATAACTACCAAAAGAAAAAAAACGAACGAAAGACATGAGCTGATCTATATATTTAAGTATTTTTTATTTTTACGATTTCTCACAATTTATTTTTCCGTTTGCCTTAAACAGAAATAGGTTTCATACATTCCGTCAACAACTTGAATTTCAAGATTCTAAGATCCTAGTTATTTCGTAGTTATCTAGACTAAGAAACAGTTATGAAAGAAAAGAGCTGCTTAATGAGCGTAACGGAAACCGTTTGCGTGCTAACGCGTGCGAGAAACACGGTTGTGGATTAGACGATTCATGAACTGTGACGAGGAATGTACGATTTTTATTGCAAAAGATTTCAAATAAAATATAGAATTTAAATCAAATTTTGCAAGTAAATCTTTATTAGCTTCTCGATACATTTTGTATAATCGTATAGGCGCATAATATTATTTAATATTTTAAGCACATTCTAAATTAAATGTACATTTAATATTCTAAGAATATGCTTAAAATATTAAATAATATTATGCGCCTATACGAGGAATCTTTTGTTGCACATGCAGCTTTAAAACACCGGGCCATTAAAGACGTCTGTTCGTCAAATTGTAAATATATAATTTTAAAACGCAATCGTTTCTTGCAATATACGCGTTTAGACATCGCGTCTAGATAAGATAAAAATTGAGTTATCATACATTTCTTTTTGTGTGGCTTCTCAGTGATAGCTGCAACGTCATCTATATATCTCGGGTGCAACACATTCGCTGAACGTCGATAGTATAGATCGGCAGAACTCTAAAATAAGAAAAGAAAATTCATTGCTGTTATACCTACTGATTCCATTTTTCCTTGATGGACTCTCTTGGAGTGCCGAGTGCTTTCCATTTGGGGTGCGTTTGGAGAGACACTATCAACGCTATTTGCGCCATTCTATCTTCATCGTTCAATAGAAAAACACGTAAAACAAGGATAGAATTACATAAATATGCTAATAGCGTCTCTCCGAACGCACACTTGGTGACACAAGTTGACGCAAGTATAATTCTCTCCTTGTTACTCTATGGATGCCAAGAAAGATTGGGTGCTATCCATTTAGGCTCAGTTCCAGATTCAATTTATTTTTAATCTCTTTCCAATTCTAAAATTGGAAAGATATGAGGCATAAGTTGAATCTCAGTTAAGAATTAACAGTGAGTTGTGGAACTGAGCCTTAATGACACAAATCGTTATCTTTGTTATTCCACTGAATGTTAAGAAAAATAAAATTATGCTTGTATCAACTTGTGTCACTAAATAAAAAGCATCCATAAAATGATTGTGTCATTAATGCTCGTTTCTATCAATATAGTTTAATTTTAATTAAAGTTGAATGGAGAAGTTGATCTACTGCATTGATAGAAACAGATATAAATGGAAAGCATCTATGTTCAGTGCGAAATTATAACATAATTATTATATATATATATATATATATAAGACTGGATATATATGAGTAGTAGAATATTATTAGAGAAAATAATATTAGAAAATTATAGGCGTATTAATGTTAGGAAAATGTATTCTGATTTAAGCCTAGAATATATACACTCTTTTTGCATTACATAAAATGTACATTGGAATACTGGGGATCATATCTTTAGAGTAACTTTAGCAAAAATGGACATATTTCAATTATATAATATGTATTTTCAATCGATGGAGAATCGATCAAAAAACAGGCCCATAAATTATAAAAGTTGATAGAAGTAAGGAGAGAGAGAACTCCGAGAAATACAGATTCAAAAAAAGTCCAGAAATGCCAAAAAATTCGATGCTGGAGTCTCAGTAATCTTAATGTGTATATATCTAGAATTTAGTTTTTCTCAAATCACAGATCCATTACTTATTCTTCATTTTTATAGGTGATTTACCTAAAAAGAGATATAATTGGGCGACAACCGCAAGTGGGGAGGAATCACTGCTTATTTGGAGTCCGATTAGATGCCTAGATAACAGGAATTTTTCCATCACAAAGATAGGCCAATACCTTAAACATATATATAAGAACGATCGAAATTGGATGCATAGTAATGAAAGAACAGAGGCTATTTGCACACACTGTAGAATACTAGATTACGAGCGGATAAATAATATCTGATTGTCAATCAATCCTTATCAACGGTATCTCATCTATCACTTTGCCATTGTCAGTATTGCACTGGAAACGTAAGAGAAATACTTATAAATATTTAATTCTTGTCGTATTGTTATTCTTCAAAAGTATTACCTGCATGTATTTTCTTGGCTGTTAATTAGATGGAATCAAGAATGTTAAATACATGATGCAAAACTGAATAAAATTTGTAATTAATTTTGAGAGATACTCAATGGAATTTTATTGTATTGATATCAAAATCTATGATACAAATTGTGACATATGATATTTTATAGCATCAATAATAAGGAACATAATAGATACTTATTATAATATTTAATTTATAATTATAATTATCTACTTATTACCATTTTAATATACATATTTACATATAATAGATATTACATTCATATTTCATTATCAATGCAGCGAGAATTATTGCATATCAATAACTGAATTTGCATTGAAATAAATTTTATCATAATTGATGCTTTATTATTAACACATTTAATTATATTCATTATTATTAATACATCTTTATTAAATTTTTTTTTCAGATGCTGTATGATCCTAAGAAGAAAACGATTAATAAATAAAAAATGGAGATTCTTAGAATTTTTAATTGAGAGAACTCTGTTTATTTGTTACATTAATTGCTAAGCAATTATGAAGATGACCGTCAGTCTGAGAACAATGGGTTTTATGAAATTAAGTCATCGTGTTCGGCAGAGTCTAAACATGCGCAAGTATGGTGAGTAATGTCTTTTGTAAATATGATTATCTTGTTTTTATAATAAAATTTTTGACACACCTTTCAACTTTTCGGTGCTACTTCTGAGTATGGTATGTATATATCCAGTGCTTTTTCATTGTCTTTTTTATTACTTAATAATTAATAAAAGTATATGCATTTATTTGATATCGTTACGTTCCTTAATATTTGGCGTTTTGATTGAAAAAAATTCTTCATAATATATTTACTTTTATAAAAATTGTAAGCAATAGAATTAGATTGGGTATATCATGTTCAAATGTGTCGTTTCATAGACCCATGCATTTTCACAATGCATGGGTCTATGAGACGATATTTATTGTTATTAAATATCATGCGAAATTAATTGATTAATTGTTATTATCTTTCTTCCTGTCATTTAATGTAACTAAATTTGCATTAAATAAAATTAAAGTAAAATAACATTTAATTTTTTATTTAATGTAATTAAAATTTAGATATTGCTTATATTTAAAGAATATTTACCAATATTTAAAATTTTTTTACGTAATTGTCGAGGAATATTTCATTGAAAATAATATGATGTGTGCTATACATATGTCATAATTTTATTTTATCACTAATCTCATATTAAAAAATACATAGGCAAATTCATCTGTCTCTTAAATTTGTATCAATTCTACTATTAATTAAAGATGGAAAAAATGATGGAAAAAATACGAACGCAATTAATTCAATTAGAAGTTTTAGAAATAGGCCAATGGAAATTGTAGGAAATTACGATGTAAATATATTTAAAAAATGATAAATTCTAATAAAATACAATAAAAACATTCATTAAGTATATTTTATATAATTAAAATGAAAAGAGTAACGAAACTGTAAAATGTAACACTTATAATGTTGTATAATGTCATTATAATGTACCTACTTTAACTATATTGTTATTGAGAGTAACCACAGACGATAATATTTATTTAATCAAAATGTCCATAAAAAGGTCGTAAATGAGATATAAAGAGGCTGATTTAATGTTTCTTTATCATTACGCTACAGTGAACAGAAAATACATATTTGAGCTGTACCACAAATCAATCCAAATGACAAAATGAGTTTAGTGGTCGACGCGGCCAATTGCGGTCAATATTGCGCGTTTTCAAAGTTAGAAAACATGCACATAAGACGTACAAGATTGTGCTGTTATCTCCTGTAAGATTACATAAAAATACAGACCATCTGCGCGACAGAAAGCGACGAGGAATAATGCGCGATAGAAATAGAAGGAGATACGAGAGCGCGAGATGCGAATAGTGTGTTTGAACAGAGATTGACCTCGGCAGCGTAAAAAATTATAAGCTTTAGTTGCCATCTTATCGCATTCATATCACCATTTCAAAGCAACAAATACGACTGTTACAACTAGATCGCTGCGAAAGCACAGAAGTAGAGTGACTTATTAAATAATCTGTTGTTCGTACGTCGGAACGAATAATATTCGATTTTCGCGTATTGTAAGATAATCTACGTGATTCATCTTCCTTTTGTTCTTCCGCTGCGAATGCGCGTTGTGGAACAAAATTGTGATATCTTTTTTTCGTCTGTATTTTGCAGTGAGTGATCAGCATCTCGCAGACGGCGAGGTGAAGAAACAAAAGATACCGCTAAACATCAATATCAATATGCTGAAAATCGGTTTCCTCGGCGGGGGAAAAATGGCCCAGGCGCTTGCTAAAGGTTTTATACGGGCGGGTAAATAGTTTTTTCTATGTATATATTTTTAACGACATATAATTTTTTTTCATTTAATATTACACGTTTTAACGATATACAGATTATCAGTTACATTGATTTGATCAACAAAAGTTCACTGAAAATATCTCGAAATGTTTTTCGCATTTTCTTATTTCACGAGACTTCTCTCATTTTACAGATTTGAGCAAAGGCGAAATGATACTGGCTAGCTGTCTCCCAAATGATACCGGCAGTATTGAAACTTTTAAGGTGAGATAATAAACAGTTTATCACGTAAGGAAGATTCCGATAATAGATCGAAAGATTTTCTTTTGTTCATAATATGTTTGATAAGAATACCGCCGGGGATAAGGTGCGATTTCCCATCGTAATGAATTCATTGTAATAATCGGAGATGTAAATTCTTTGTGATATCTAATATTAAAAACATTTTACAAATAGAGAAAGAACATTCGCGTTCCATATCACAATATTTTATGAGACTTTGAAACTGATGGATTAACTTGATAAAAAAATGTATATGTTATGATTAAAAGTCAATATTTTATACATTACATTTGCGAAGAAATACCAAAAAAACAAGTTTAAATGTTTACTGAAAATTCAAAAATAAATAATAAACATTGTATATGTAACAATTAAACATTTTAGAAAAAGGACGAAAAGATTGTTAACACTTTTTTAATCAAATTGATGTGTTTAAACTATAAAATAGTCATGAAATGCCAGAACGCTTACTCATCGTATAAAAATGATATACCAGAGAAATAAAAATTATTTTGGGTTAAATAGACCCAAACAGACTAACAGGGTTAATAAATTATCCCATGATAAGATATAGTTTTATAATTTCTATATATTCTAATCGCGTATGTATTAAATGTTTGGTGATTATCGATCGAGACATTTTCAAACATTTTGTATTTATATTATTATCACCTGTGCGCGAATTCTAGAATTGTATCTACAAGTTCTATTTGTATATATCACGATACAAAAATATGAAGTGTTCCTCTCTATTCAGTTATATTTTCACTTGTAAAAACTGTGAACTGAGGAAGTGAGGTGTGCTTTCCAACAAACGACACAAATAACACGGTATGACACAATGAAATAATGGATCATTATATCCTTGTTGTTTGCCAATGTTAGGCAAAGATGACATGATCACTCCCAAGTAGCATAACAGCGCTTGTAAAGCGCTAAAATAGCGATTATATGCGCTTTTTTAGTGCTTTGTTAACGCTTTGTAAGCGCTGTGCTCCTTGGGCTGTGTCGCTTGTTGGAAGGCACACAAGATCTAATAATCACATCTACAAAATAAAACTTTCTATATGTAAGACATGTTTACTAATATTAATAGAGAAGCAGGGCTAAGTAAAATAACTGATATGACTTATTAAAAAAATATATATAAAATAGATTCCAAAAACTTATTTAAAATATTAAATAAGAAATGGTTAGAGAAGTTTTTTAAAATAATAAATACTAAATAAATTTTTTTTATTTAAAACATATTTTAAATAGCTTTATTTTAAATACAACCAAGTCGTGGTAGAGAGTGTAGATGTAATATTACGGTACATACGTTACTTTGTGTTTAACTCAGAATGTCCTCAGAAAAATCACAATGATTTTACATAAGTGAAAACATCTTATATTTTACAGTGATTTAAATTTAGATAATATCAAACATATCAGATATGCGTGAAAGAATATATGAACAGATAGTAGTAGTCTTACCTGTTTTGATAGAAGATGATAATAATATCTCAAGACGATTATCAAGATAAAACTATCCATAATATGATAAAATTATACGAAAAAAATATTTAATCAAATTTTGATAAAGAAAATTTTAATTTCCAGGTAGTAAATACTGTACTGCCAAATGTGTTATTAAGTGTATCAAAACCTGTATATCTAATTAACGTTTTCAGGAAATGGGATCAAATACTGTTTTTACGAATATACCTGTCATCGATCATGGTGACGTGTTAATCCTTTCGGTAAAACCGCAAGTTGTACCAAAAGTATTATCAGAATTTAGGGTACACGACAACAAGAAGTTACTCCTTTCCATCGCCATGGGCATTTCTTTGACGTCACTAGAAAAGGTAACACGGTTCTATCATCGAACAAAAATTCGTTAATGCATTATGATATAAATTATTCTTCTAAAGGATCATCTAAATCATCTAAAGGAAAAAAAAAGAAGAATGTCATATTACAGAGAGAATATTTTCAGGCACTGCCAAAAGAAACGCCTGTGATAAGAGTAATGCCGAACACACCTGCATTAGTTGGCTGCGGTGCTACGGTATTTGCGCGTGGAAAATACGCGAGTGACAAAGATGCGGAGATCGCAGAAAAACTATTTTCCTCCGTAGGCATCTGCGAAGAAGTCCCGGAAAATTTCATTGATCCTGTAACTGCTTTGGCCGCTTCCGGTCCTGCCTATGTGAGCAAACATTCCAGTTTCAATTTTTTAGTTCAATTTTTTTAGTTCTAAACAATCTGCTGCAATGTTTTTACAAATAATTATTGGAATTAAATTTAAAAAATAGAGAAACAAAAAGTGAGTTTTATATTTTTACGGGTTTTTTGAATTGTATAATTCACATTATCGATTTTTCTTTTATTTTTAAATTATCAAGTTTGTTTCCATCTTTAAGAAAATGACTATTATTATAATGAGAAATGAAAATTTCTTTAGATATATATGGTAATCGAAGCAATGGCCGATGGTGGAGTTAAAATGGGACTTACTAGGCCTATCGCATATAAACTCGCTGCGCAAACTGTCTTAGGCGCTGGTACAATGGTCCGCGAGACAAATCTCCATCCAGGACAGCTCAAGGATGACGTAACTTCACCAGCAGGTTAGAATTTACTTATATTAATTAAAATCTCTATTTTTTTCAGCCACAATATATATTTTCCTTTTTCATTTGCAGGCTCGACCATAACTGCTGTTCATCAATTAGAGAAGCATGGCTTAAGATCGGCATTAATCAACGCTATAGAGGCAGCAACACTTCGATGTAAAGAAGTTAGTTCACAGACCAACAAGAATTAGTAATGACAATTATTGTTGTATTGACATTTTAAAGAAAGATATCAAGAGATACGATAATGACTTGATATAAAATAACGTAGATAATATTTTTATGTTTAAAGAGTATCAAATGAGGTATAATAATTACACTTGAAGATACGAGTTAACATTCATTAATTTATTGACTCGGATGAATAAATCCAAATGTGTTTAATGCCTATTCGAGTCCAAACACCAGATGAAGTTGTGTATCAAAATTTTACCTGTTGACTATCGACATGTCAAGTAATGTTATAATCTTATATAACTAACACTATATTATTGTTCTAGGGAGCACAGTGATGTATATATAATAGTTAGGTTATATTGAAAAGCAAACGCAGTTAGATTTAGCGTATATCTATTTCATACCTCAATGGTTAAACAAAAAAATTATAACATTTATTATTACAATTACAATGAACGTAACGATTCTAACTTGAATAGCGACAAGTGACTAACGAATATTATTTAAAAATGAAATTTATAAATCTTGTAATATTTTTGTCATCATTATTGAGTTCTTACAATGTTGTGCTTGGCAGGTTAGATCTTAACAGTCACATAACTGATTAAGGAGATTATTTCAACACTGGAATTGTAAATCATCTCAACATGCCAAGTAATTAAATAATGTAATTATAAACTGGATATACATGCTGAAGATGACTTAAAAAGAAGTCGAAACGTTCATTGTAATTGTAATAATAAAACTTATAATTTAACCATTGAGGTGTGAAATAGATATACGCTAAATCTAATTGCGTTTGCTCCCAACTGTCTATATAGCTGTTGATTGATTCTGAGAGCCTCTGTTAAATCAAATTTATATATTGAAAAGGATCCGACTAAGAATCGCGCGCGCGCGCGCGCGAAACGTATGATTATACTAATATAATAAAGGTTTTGATACACAACTACTACATCTGGTGTTTGGACTCGAATAGGCATTAAACACATTTGGATACGAGTTAACTCTTAACTGAATTTTAAGATGACAATTGAGATATCCCTATTTTATATTGGGGATGTATTTATCAATTTTGTTAATTATTTAAAGAATAATCACATTACTGTGGTAATTTGCTATTATAGTTAACACACATAATGTGATGACCTTGTGATAATTCGAAATTTTAAGGAATATATAATATCTTTTATAATATATTATATAGGACCGTATATGTGATAACACAAACTATAGAAACCAAAGCCTTAAACTATCGCAAGAAGAATTAATTATTTACAGATTTTAATATGCCATTCAATATTATTAAGACCGTTTCGAAGATGCAAATAAGCATCAAAAATTTGTTAAATTGCTAGTCAATTTAATTCATGATATTACTGCGGTAGTTTAATAGAGTTAGCGGTTCAAGACCGAAAAATTATTTCGGCGCGCGTTTCTGGGGACTACACACGTAGTATATAAATTCACATAAGAATTATACAAGCATTAAGATCCAGTTTAAGGCTTTGATTTCTATAGTTTGTGTTATAAAATATCTTTATTATTATTAAACTGTAGCAGTTTAAAATACTGCTGTTAGTCTCTCTGATATAATGTCGGTAGGAACTATTTTATAAATAATTATTTAAAGTATTAGTAGACTTTCTTTTGATCATTTGGAAATAATCTTTTAGTTTTGAGAAATAAAAAATATAGATCTGATACTAAATGATAATAATAGGTGCAATCCATTTGGCGCTACAAATGCTTCGAAGCATCAAGTTGTTCGTAGTCAATGACTTTCAACACATTTGTACAAGTTGACACTATTTTCACAATATAATATAAACCATTTAGGCTATAATTAATATAGAGTAAAAATTATATTATACTCTTATAAAAACAGTTTATAAAAGTACTTATTATAATTTTTTTTAATAATTGTAAAAATATTATAAGTGTTAAAATGTTTAAACAAGACTGACACTTAAAAATTATTGAGAAAATATAAGGAAATTTTATATATTCCTATTAAAATTTGTACAAATATATATCTTTATTCTATTCAAACTAATTTTTAATTACATATTTAATTGATTTTTAATTGTATATTTAATTGTATTTTGATATATTTGTTAATATTTGATTGTATACATCACGTAAAGAATTAAATAAATAAATATTAACATGTTAAAAAGCTTTTTTGTTATTGTGTCATTTAATATTTTGTAATTTTAATGTTGAATAATTTTAATGTTTGTAATCATTAGGCACCAATGTGAAATATTTTTCTATATTCAACAAATTCATTTCTTGCACTCTTTATCTCAACTAACGTTCGACATCAGTTTCTCTTCCTTAGCTTGCACACGTTTAAAACCGAGATTGAATTCTGTCTTAAACATTTCTCTATAATAACTTTCCTTCACTATATCACTTTCAGGTACATCTGTTTGTTTGCACATTAACACATAGGATTTATGCATTGTGGCTATGTTTAGATTTGCATCCAAATAACATTTACCACTACAATCCTTCGGATCTGTCGATTTCTCGGATGGAAAAGATCTAATATGTTCGCGCACTCGCTCTTTTATGTCCTCACTTTTCTTAGTTTTTGGCGTGTGCCTACCTCTTTGGTCCGGTTCGATGATACCACTTGGTGACATTCGTTTCTTCTCCATCACATGTCGCACGAATTTTTCAGATACTGCAAACGTGCTAAGAAACATTGACTTGCACACAGTGATGAATTCACCCTTCGATAAGAGAGAGTACGTGAAGGTCACCTGCCGGCATCTCGAAGAACGCTGTGGCTGAACATTGTTGCGCAATCGAGTACGTTGTTTCGGAGATTCTTTGACAGATTTGGCGATATATTGCTTTCGCTGTTGCCACGTATAGATCCTCCAAAAGGCTTTGTGCAATTCTTCGCGTTCGTTCTCGTCTATCTTCTCCGCACAATGCATTCGACAAACGCAGGGATGTCCCATCTTTTTAGCTGGCACTATTTTGCCTGAAAAACACAAACTGTTAATTTTTTGTCTATTAATCCAATCTGTTTATTGTCTCTGTATTTACCTCCGACCCCAATGTATTCTTCCCCTTTTAATCTAGCATTTTTCTTCAAGTTTACTTTCCAGTTTTCAGGTTGCTTTAGACGTTTCATAGATTCTTTATGTTCCTTCAATGGTTTTGTATTCTTTCTCTGCTTAAACTTAACTGAACTTTCTGCGAAATCCTTATTACTAACTGACAGTGGCTCTTGTGACTCATCTATTGTTTGTAAATTCAGTGTATCTCCTGTAATAACACGCAATTGCAATAAAATCTAACAGGAATCGGAATAAAGGGCGATCAAACTCCAATTAACACAATCAACTATTTTATTAATACGATTAAGGTATTGAAAAAGGATTAAGAATTAATTACGTGTTACAGATATTGTCTTAAGCGGTTCTGCTTCTGTTGAGTTAAATAAATTAGTGTTTGATCGAAGTATAGCCTTAAGCATCAATCTCTGTAATAACTTTAAGTTATTGATAATTTTATATAATCTTTTGTTGCAAGACTTATCTGGAAAAATTACAGTAAAAATGTACTTATTAATAGATAAGTTTCTACAAGTCCAGCTCCAGAATGTGGGATGAATTGGGATGTAAGATTTGTATCCCTAGTAGCGGTGTCTTTTAACCATGCCGCATTCATTTGTAATTTGTTTGAATTTTCTGCTGACACTAAATATTAAGAATAGAAAGTGATGATAAGTATAGGAATTCGGAGATGAGCAAAAATATGAACGAGTTTGAATTTACCCATGTTATTAGCACTATGCTTGTAGAATACAACTGAGTGTTGAATTTCCTGCTGTCTGCCTACATTTTTCTCTGTCAACCATTCTTCTACCTTCGTGTGCTGTTCTAATAGATTCGTTTCTTTTGCATCCTGCTCCATTCTGCGCGGTTCACATCTTCCACAATTAGTGGATTCGCGTTTCGAACCTTGTGTATTGCGAAACGAGAGCAAATTTCGCGAAACGTCACAGCGTGATCGGCAAAAAACGGTAAAGAAAGATAAGCGAGCGTAAAGGCTAAGTCACGTTCTGTCGAGGGACAATTTGTAATGCTGAAGGAGTGTTTGTGATCGCGAAAACGTGGTAGACGTTTCTGTGTACCGGTTAGAGTTGACTCGGCGTAGATGAATTTCAAAGAGGACGTATTATTCGTAGTACAACGGCACGATGAGATCATCATAAGACGTGTATTTCGTCACGCGCACGATATTGTGTGGTAGATTGTCACCTGCTGTCACTGTGGAATCTGGTGCACTTGGTCACTTGGTGTAACTTGACTTGGTGTGATATGGAACCGTCGATTTTAGCGAGATTATTTACTTCTCAGATTCAGAACAGGCAATCTTGTACGCTAACGACCTCTCAAGATACGCGGCTAAAGCGAGAACCAACAATTGGAGAAAAATGCGCCAAAACAAGAGAAATTGCAGGATTAAATTGCAAAACCTTAATTCTAATTACAATATTAATAAAATAAATCATAAAAATGCAAAATTCTGTGACATTCATTATTTACATCATAATATCAAGTTTTTTTCAAAATTTGAGAATATTTGACAATATATTATATAAATACTAATATATTTAAAAGTATATTAGATTCGTATTCCTTGTTCGTTCTTAACTTTGCCTCATTCATGTCCCTTTCATTAACTTTAATCTCGATTTTACTCACTCTTTATCTTTTTCTAATTCTTAGAACTGGAAAAAGAAAGTAAGTTAAATTGAGTTAAATCAAGATGAAAGTTAATCTACATTGGTAGAAATGAATCTAAATAGCAGTTACATTTAGTTGTACTTTTTGCAACAATTTTTTTGCAACAAATCCTTGTTCTTTCCTCTTCAGAGGTACCTCTATTATTTCAAGTTGTTTCTCTGCATCTGTATGTTGCTCTTATCTCACATTAATGATAACAAGGATAAAATGATATATCATGCGTAAAACTGAAAGCACCCATAGTACACAATTATGCGTTCGGGGAGACATTATTAATTAGCGCTACTTCTGCCATTTTATCTTCGTTGTTTATTAGACATAAAACAAAGATAGAATGACATAAATAGCGCTAATAACGGGTGCTTTCCAGCAAGGACACAATCAGACACTGTGTAACACAATGAATCGCTTCATCCTTGTTTAACATAGGCAAACAAGGATGTAATGATTCACCGTGTTACATGTGTTTGACCGTGTCCTTACTGGAAAGCACTCAGCGTTTCCCCGAACGCACCTAAAGTACAGTTGTTGCAAACGCATCTAATTGCCGCGCTGTGATTGGTCCGCCGTTGGTGCCACTTCGATAGTTTTAAATTTTCGAGGTAAGCGAGCTTAGCGAGCCAAGTAGTTCATTATGCGCCATGGCGGACCATGACGGCGCATTCGAGTCGCTCCGTATTTTTCGCGATCGTTACCGATTTAAAGTGAATCCTGCGTGCGTGGAATTGTCGTGCGATACATTGAACGTTGCGTACGATCATTATTGTATGTTTATACCGCGATTTCTGTACCGATAAACCGCCTCTCTGCGCGACTCGGAATCGAGCCGGAATCAGTAACGGATTTTTTCAACTTTAAGCTTGTTTGATGTGGAAACTCCTATGATATCGTGACTCCAAACGCGTATTTACTTCGTTCATAACAGAAAATTTAATCCCGGATGCAGTTTATCGTGAATAATACAGTTTTAGTGGCGTGAATGTGCGACAGTTTCTCAAGTGAGCTCCGTGCGATCGTAACAAAAATTTGAAAAGACCTCTGCCGCGGTTCAGAATTAATTGAAATTCTCTCGGCCGTTATTTTCTTTGAAAAATAGCAAGATTCGCTCAATATTCATGTGATTTTAATCAGGATTACACATTCTCGATAATATGAAAGTGTCTCCGATCTTGAGAATTGTACTTTGCAAGCTTTAAAACTGTTTGATCTAAGAGCTCTATCGATATTGAGATCCTAGAAGTACATCTATTTTACTTATAACGAAAACATTCGCCTACGGATGGAATTTATCATAATTAATACAGTACGGTGACGCGAATGTGCGAAAGTTTCTCAAGTGAACTTCGTGCCAAGTTACGAATATGACCAACTCGAACGGTAGCCGACAGATGTCGCGGCGAGTATCTTTCTCGCCGTGACAGCTACGCCGGCGGGCCACGTGACCCCCACTGGTCCACCATCTTGCGTGTGTTTGTCGTGGATGGTCGCGAACTTTGTTGTGCGCGTCCGCGGGTTTCGGCGTGACGCGTGATATGTGTGGACGTAAGGGTGCAGCGAGGTGGAAGGCGTTCGACGACGGTGACGCAACGTGACGACTCAGCTCGGAGGGTGTCCGGCGTGTGCGGTGACGAGCGGCCCGGGAGGGCGGACGACGATCGACGCTGGGCGTCTTCGGTGAGTCGTTGCTTTTTCTAGATTCATGGCTTTATCGCACGTCGCGGTCGTCGCGACACCGATTGTTCTTCTCGCCGTTGCGATGGACTTCTGGAGCGGCTCGCTGCGAGGACTGTCACGTGTTGAAGCGTTCGCTCCTTTAATGGTCGAGCGTGCGACCGTCTCGTATTTGTTACCTAACTTTACCTGCTTGCATCAGCTGGGTGCGCGTCCGTGAATTTTACAACTTGGGCGCGTTCACATACAGAAAAATATATGCTCTACGTAAATAATTATTAGTTGTTTCAAGTATTTCAAAAGTTCATAAGTTCCGTAAAACTATCTATAAATTCATCACAAGCATTAAGTCTAATCAGAATATTTTGTGAATCCTCTAATGAGTTTAACTCTTTACATTCGAATGGCAACCCTCAGTCGCTACTTGGTTTGATGCAGTAACTTGAGTCGTGAGTGGCGAGTGAGACAATGACTATGTTTGATCTGGGCGAACTTCAAAGTTTTGATTGCACTATCAACACGGGTAGCCATTGGATGGAGAGTTATATGTTTTCTTCTAGGATACATAATATGATACGATAAGATGCGATAAGATTTTATCTCCCTATTGAAAAGTGCGCCCACTGCAAAAAGAGTTAATACTTTAACTAGATTCTTAAATAAAATTAATTCAATTTGCTTATTATATAAAGTCATTTCTTTGATCAATTTTATAATGTTCTTAAAAAAATTAATTCTTGTTTGAAGTAGGTACATTATGAGTTTTTCTATAATTTGTAATAAATTTATTTTAAAGTTATTACCAAGAAAGTATATTTTATTAAAGATTCTTAAAAAAATTAATTCTTGTTTGGAGAGTACGTTATAAGATTTTCTATAATTTGTAATAAATATATTTTAAAGTTATTATCAAGAAAGTATTTTTTATTGAAGATAATAAATTAAATTGAGTAATTACTTTTCTTAGAGTAACAGAATGATATTTTTCTGTGTGCAGAAACTTCTCCTATATTCTGTTCAACGACAGGTTTAAAATGAAGACCTGCATTGTATACGTAAATACAACACGCTCAGGCCTAGACTTAGAAAATTGAGCGAGTAAAATAATTTTGATATCTTACTTTGTGCGCTATGTCTCCTATATGTATGCACAAAGCTACACTGAAAAAAAAAAGTTGCTGTTTCAAAAAAATATTAGTTGATTCAACTAAATGTAGCGATCACGGATTGTTAAGCAAATATTTGTTAATTAAATTAAATATTTGTTAATTCAAACAAATAACATGTTTTACATTACAAGATTTTGTTAATCTAAATATATAAATATTTGAACTAAATAATCATTACGAACTAAACGCAGTTAGTCAAGTTAACAATTTTTTATTCTCAGTGTAGAGATTTTCAAATGCAAGAATGAACGTCATACATTTGGTCCATCATATTTTTCGGGACCTGTTTAAGGTAGAATGAGATAGATTATGCATAAGATAGAATGAAATCCACGCGCCTCATTCTATCTTAAGCAGGTCCTGAAAAATACGGAGAACCAATCAGAGATTGTCTAAACGGTGTCCAATCATATTTGAGGATCTCTATGTGAAGGGAGAAAATCTCTTGTTGAATAGAATATAGGTGCACACACACACACACACACACATATGTATCATTTTAACCTTAGCACTTTAAATTCCAAAAGTGTACACTACAAGAGGTATGTTTTTTATAGTTCAGCTACAGAAAACAGATAGTTTTCTCTCGTTTAACATATTCGTTGAATGACAAGGATAAAATGATACGCAGGTGCACTCGGGTGAAGTTGCTGAACGCAGTCCTTGTTGACGTGATGTCATGAAGTGGACGGTCAGCTTCGAGCCGGCGCGAGATCGATCGCGTTTCACAATTCCGTCGACTCCGACATGACGGGATCCTCGCTCGCGGGGAGATTTTTTTATCGCGGGGCGCGTTGGATAATATATTACAGCCGCTTACGTCAGCGCATGCATGATCGACGATGCTTGCGTGTATGTAAGAAAATAAATGCACGCCTCGTGAAGGTTGCACATGTTACTTCAACGCAGTGGTGTGATCACTCTGTAAGAACTTGGCGTTCGATCGTATACAAATATGTGCATGTCGTAGCGATGGTGTCACTTTCATATTAAATCACCTTTCGCGTATAACGGGTATACATCCAAGATTCCTTGTAGCAAGAAAAGATTGAGGATACGTCAACAATTGACTAAATAAGGGATAAAGATTCGACGTATCGGGAATTAGGAATAAGGAATTAGCTTCCAAATAAAGAGAAGTCATGTATTCACATTCGATTTCTTATTTTCCCCCAAGAGAAAAAGGGAAAAAATGCTTCTCCATTTTGTAACTAATTCTAACTTTTCGTGTTTAATTCTTTATTTTTTAAATTCAGTTTCCTATGTCCAGAGCGTAACGATTGTTTCTGAAGGTTAAATTACGAATCGTTCATATAGCCTTCGATAGCTCAGTTGGTAGAGCGGTGGACTGTAGTATGAGTAAAGGTAGAGAGACATCCATAGGTCGCTGGTTCGAATCCGGCTCGAAGGAATTTTTTTTCCCTACTGCGATTTCTTAGCTTTCATTTTACCGAGCTTCTCTCCACGAATTAGAATCATATGTGTCATTACTAACATATTTTTGTTAAAAAAGGAAATTGAGAGCACGTTTTAAAAACTACTTTTTAAAACATTTTTTATATACACAGACGATTATAAACAAACAAAAACCTGTTAGTCGTTACTCGTTATTCAGTAGATAGAAATTAATACAATGGAATGTCAACAAGAGATTTTTTATACAATTGTGTATTATATTGCTAAACATATTCTACAACGCGTAAAATTTTTTTGAACTTTGACCTGCTTTCTCTTCTACTAAAACAATTAATGCGATTGACCAATATTAAGCTTGCGAGTACAAAATAAAAAAAAACAGAACGTGCGAAATTTACTTTAAAATTCCCAAGAAAAATACATACTGCACGCAAGTGATAATTATGTGTTTCTAATATTTCAAAAGTTCATCTATTCGCAAACCTATCATAAATTCATCCGAAGCATCAAATTTCTTTAAATTATATTCTGAATCCCAATAAGATTAATAAATTAAAACAAGTACGATTTGCTTAATTACATAAAGTCACCTTCGGTTAATTTTGTAATGTTCTTTAAAAGAAAATAAAATTCTTGTTTTGAGTATACAATGAATTTTTTTACAATTTGTATAATAAATAATATTTTAAAATATTTAAGAAAATATTCTTCATTAAAGTTAACCGTTACTAAAAAAAAGGAAATAAATTGAAATGAATAAATAATTACTTTTCTTAGCAATAGAATATTTTTCTGTGTGTGTATGTGTGTTTGTGTGTGTGTGTGTGTATTGTAAAAATGTCCATTAATGCACATGTATGCCCGTCATCGTAATCTGGTTAGGCAAGATATAAGAAATCACGTTGTTATCGTAGTTCTGTTTCTGTCGATAGCATAACGATATCGCGCGATGGCACGAAGAGCATCGTAATCTGAACGGACGAGCTTAAAACGAACGGTGGCGAACGGATGAAACTATGAATATTCGCGATTAAACGGATTAAAGGCCGAAAAATATCCATATTATCGGACATATAGGACGGCCATAAGGCGCAGTCGCGCGCTCGCGATATATATCCGGAGTAATTTATAGCCGCACGCTCTAATCGTCTTTTCCAACTATAATTTATTACTACTCCATCCATATTTATTGGCACTTCGGCCACTGCATTCTGCCGACCATCAGATTGGTTATATTGTTGGCGGTCCGATACACACTGCAATAAATTATCCAGCGCGCGAAGGCGCGACGGCTGACGCGTACTGATAGATTGCGGAGAGAGGAGAAACGATTTATTTAAGCACTGCGGTATTTTACACGGTCCGTAACAATTTTTGATGTATATACATATATGTATGGTTTGAGATATACAGCCCGTTTCATGAACCGCGAATTAAAGTAGGAGAAAAGTGTAATAAAGAAATAGGTCTGCTAGCGTTATTTGCCTTTTTGAGAGAGAGAGAGAGAGAGAGAGAGAGAGAGAGAGAGAGAGAGAGAATACAGCACTTTATTTTCTCTCTTTTTAGTGGCCATTATAAGTATATTTATCTCGTGTTAAGTGCAAACATTTTTAGGGACTTCAAGCAACACGAACAAACTTAATGTCTGTGAAGTTCGTATTTCTGCGAATTTTTATAGAAATTTGATGTGTCATTTGATTGTCCACAAACAATATTCATGCATGGAACAAAATTAATTCGATCAGTGCTCGTGAAAATATGTTTTGGTTGATCCGAGACACTCGATATACATGGCGGATAATTTATTAATAATTTCCAAAAAATACTTAAACTTTTTTGACGCGTATAGTATAATCTCAAGTGGTGCACTGAAAAAAAATCTGCTTGGATTAATTAGAATTCTGGTTGAACAATGAACAAATTAGAATTTTCTGGTTGAATCTATATATATATATATTTTTTTATTAGATTCTCTTTCACCAATTCCAATTAACTCTAATCGATGATTAATTCAATCATCGATCGCTAACTGAGAACTAAACACAGTTTGTCTCATAACAGGAAGAGAGAGGAGATGTTCTGATAGATTAAACTGCTGTTGGCACTTCTGCGAGTTGTGTAATCGTCGATTGATTTAACCAGAAATTGGTGACAGTTAGGTCCTTATAATTCTAGTTGAAATAATCAGAATTCTTGATAAGATCAGAATTTTCTTATTCGTCAATTTTTAATTTGAAATTTTTCTCAATGCGTAGAATACAAAGAACGAATAAATCACATCTCTGCGAAATTGATATCTCATTGATAAAATTTCGTTGTAATTAATAGAGTTCTGGTTCTTTCCCAAAGAATTCTATATACAATTTCTGATACGTGTTATTTTCATTTTGTGAATTGAAATTTTTGAAATTCTTATAA